ATTTAGTGGGCTTTGAACCGGCGTTACATTCGAACGTAAACAGATTTATTTGTCTATGCTGTGGTTTCGTTGTCTATGTTGTTGTTGTTGTTTCGTTGTCTATGCTGTTGCCTATGTTGCCGATTTGTAGTCTTTGTGTGTTGTTGGTTATGCTATCTTTGTTGGTGATTTTTGATGTTTTTTGTTTGCTTTGAAGCTTGTTGTGGTTGTTGCTTTTGTTGTTAACGTGGTGGTTTTTGTTGTTGTTGTTGTTTGTGGTAACATGGCGGTTGTTGTTGTTGGTGTTGTCATCAAAAATGTTATTGTCATTGGAAACAAAAACAAAATGAAAAAATGCCCATCCTTGATTAACTGCTCTTCGTTCTGATAGGGAATGAAATGTAGTAGTCCCACAATCATTTTCCATCTTTCTTTCCATCTTTCTTTCCATCTTTCCATATTCTTTTTTTCTTTCTTTCTTTCTTCCTTTTTTCTGTTTTTTCATTCATTCATCTGTTTTCTCTAATAACTTTTTATTTTTGTTTTTTCATTTTTCAACTTTTATCATTTCCCACTCTACATTTTCAGTTTTCATTCGCTTTTTTATTTTGTCTTTTTATCATTTTTATTTTTCTCACTCTCCATCCTTTCTCTCTCTTTATATTTCTTTTTCTGTTTCCTTCTCTCTTTCTCTCTCTCTCTCTCTCTCCCTCACCATCTCTCCATCTACGTCCACCCTTCGGTATAATTTAATATGACAAGGTTGGTATGGACGATAAAATGCAAACAACTTCATCAGTGACAACAACAAACAAAAAACAACAACATACAAACAAACAGGCTAACAAAAACATACAAACTAACAAACAAACAACGTACAAACAAACATACAGACAACAACAACATTAACAAACAAACAAATAACAACATACAAACAAACAACAACATACATACATACAAACAAACAACAACATACAAACAACAACAACAACATCAGCAACAACAAACCAACGCTTCATAATAAAAGGTAGCGTTTGTTTTAGAAGGAAATACACGAATCGATGTTCAAATCAATACAGTTACGACAATCGATATTACATAAGTCAAGTCGTTGTTGTGGGCTGGTGTGGCTATTGTGGCTGGTGTGGCTATTGTGGCTACTGTGGCTGACGTCGTTGTTCTGGCTGTTGTGGTAGATGTCGTTGGTGTGGCTGTCACGCCATGTATACAACGGAGAAGATGTGATGATGAAATCGATGATAATGAAGACAATGATGGCGATGACGAGATGACGACGATGATGATAACGATGATGGTAATGATGACGAGGTTGTTGATGATGATGAGAATGATGAGGATGGCAAGCCATTTTAATGTAGAGAATAATTCAGCCGGCTTAGAGTCTGTTGGCTTGGATGTTTTCATGTTTATACTGCTGCGTCAGTAAAGGTAATGACCTCTCTAAAATATTCAGCATTCTCTTTTCTTCTTTTATTTGTTTTCTCTCTCTTTTTTTTCTCTCTCTCTTTCTCTTTTTCTCTTCCTTCTCACCCTCTTTCTTTTATTTTTTGTTTTTTTTATTCTTATCAAACAACAAACGAACTGTATAGAAAGATATCAAGCCACCATACTTGCAAATGTACAAACAAACATACAAACTAACATACAAACTAACAAACAAACATACAAACAAACATACAAACCAACATACAAACAAACATACATATACTATTAAGTAGACCAGACTTCCAATGGTTTTCTCTTAACGTAGTAATTACATTAAAACACACTTTACAGGTAATCCTTAAACATTTCTAAGTAATTCTTCCTTCCTCTCTTCACTTATTTATTCGTTCTTTTATTCATTCATTTTATTATTCATTCATTCGGTCATTCATTCATTCCACCAATCGCTTTTTTCTTTCATTCATTTATTCATTCATTCGTTTGTTCGTTCATTTACTAATTATTCCTGTTCAAAATGCCTAAAATTTTTAACAATCAATCCAATCAATCAATCAATCAATCAATCAATCAATCAATCAATCAATCAATCAATCAATCAATCAATCAATCAATCAATCAATCAATCAATCAATCAATCAATCAATCAATCAATCAATCAATCAATCAATCAATCAATCAATCAATCAATCAATCAATCAATCAATCAATCAATCAATCAATCAATCAATCAATCAATCAATCAATCAATCAATCAATCAATCAATCAATCAATCAATCAATCAATCAATCACTCACTCAATCAATCAATCAATCAATCAATCAATCAACCAATCAATCAACCAACCAATCAATCAATCAATCAATCAATCCTTCGTTCAATTGCTCATTCACTCATTCACTCTTGCTTTCATTCATCCACTCCAAAATAGGCTTTCTCTTTATATTAAGCTCATTATTTTTAAAGCATGTACCATATAATGTACCCACACACATGTAGTAGTTGTAGTAAAAGTAGTAGTAGTAGTATTAATACTTAAATAGAATTATTATGTATGACAATATTGAAAGGAATTTGTTCGTGGCGTGTTCTTCTTATACATAATCCTCTTTGCTTTGCTGCTGTTGTTGATGTTGTTGTAGTTAATGCTGATGTTGTTGTTGTTGATATTATTGTTGTTGTTGTTTTTGATGATGATGTTGTTGTTTTTGATGATGTTATTTTTATGTTGTTTTTGTTGTTTTCATTGTTGTTGTTGTTGTTGCTGTTGTCGTTGTTGTAATGATAATAAACATAATAATAATGGCGTCACGAAGCCCTCAAAGATAATGAGAACGATGAAAATATTATTTCAGTTAATTTAGCCATGCCATCATAGCGCTCAGCCAGCAGACGCACCTTACAATGACGACGACGATGACGTCATACGATTTTCTTCATCTATGTATACAAACCCACCTACACACACACACACACACACACACACACACACACACACACACACACACACACACACACACACACACACACTCATAAACGAGTAAAAAAAATGCACATTTGTGCACTCGTGCGAGCGAACATACGTATATTAAACACTCATGATTACATACATTACGTGTGTATACAGTTATACACATATATACACGTTCTCACACACACACCTACAAACACGTACACACATACATGCACGCATATTGCTACTTTATTTAACGAAAAAAAGATTTTGACTATGATTATGACCGACTGGCCAATCAGCTGATCAGCCGATCAACCACGTGACTAATCCACCAACCAACCAGCCACGTGACTAGATGTCTCGTATGACGTCATTAGTCTGTCCCACGTGACTCTTCTGCCGGTTGCCATGGTGATTATGGTGACGACGTTTCTAGGCTCTGTACTTTTACTTTTTGTTGGGCACATTTCAATTTACGCTTCAAGGGAGATGGGATCATTACTATTACCACCTATACTACCACTACTACTACTACTACTACCACTACCACTACTACTAAACTTACTACTACTACTTCTACTACTACTAATACTACTAGTACTACTGCTACCACTACTACTATCACTACTACTACCACTACTACTACTACTACTACTACTACTACTACTACTACTACTACTACTACTACTTCTACTACTACAACAACAACAACAACAACTACTACTACTACAATTGCTACTGCTGCTACTACATTCACTACTACAATTGTTTCATTACTATTACAAATATTAATGCTGTCTTTAATAATGCAATTGTGGTTGAGATCCATCATTAACAGTGAGAATGTGCATTTAAACATATTTATTATTATGACCTCTAGGAGGAAATTTTTTCCATATTTGAATAAATAAATGATTTAATTGCATAAATCCATTTTAATTATTGTTTAATCAATTATTTAATTAGTTTTATGGATTATTTTTAAATTTTAATTGTCGATAAATGGGTTTTATGAATTATTTTTAAATTCTAATTGTGGATCAATTGATAATTAATTAGTTTTATGAATTATTTTTAAATTTTAATTGTGGATAAATGGATAATTAATTAGTTTTATGAATTATTTTTAAATTTTAATAGCGGATAAATGGAAAGAAATATTTTTATTAGGTTTTGCTTTCGTGACCTTCGAGAGTGAATCAATTGTTGATAAGGTCTGCGAGATACATTTTCACGACATCAACAACAAGATGGTTAGTTGATGTTTTGTAGCTACTGATGATGATGATGTTGTTGCTGCTGTTGTTGCTGTCGATGTTGTTGTTGATGATGTAGTTGATGTAGTTGTTGTTGTTGTTGTTGATGATGATGTAGTTGATGATGTTGTTGATGATGATGTTGTTGATGTTGTTGTTGTTAATGTTGATGTTGTTGTTGATGTTGTTGTTGTTGATGTTGATGATGATGTTGTTGTTGTTGATGTTGTTGTTGATGATGATGTTGTTGATGTTGTTGTTGTTGATGTTGATGTTGATGTTGTTATTGTTGATGCTGTTGTTGCTTTTAATGTCATCTCTTAAAGCGAGTAGGTTGTCGGTTTTTTTACCTGGTGATGTTATTACTGTCGAAGATCATATTTTAATTTTTGTTGTTGCTGGCATTTATGTCATTTTTATAAAAATACACGTACACACACATACACACACACACACTTACACGCACACACACTTACACGCACACATACATACACACTCAAACATACAGACGTACATACGCGCACAATTATTTTGATGAATGTGACGTATGTCGTGCCTGGCTGCTTGAACGCTTCTCTGCTTTCTCTCTCTCTCTCTCTCTTTTTCTCTCTCTTTCTCTCTCTCTTTCATTCACTCTCTTTTTTCTTTTTCTCTCTTTTTTTAATTTCCATATTATTGTTAACTCGTGAACGTTATAATTATTAATTTTATGATTATCTTGAATTATTGACTGATTGGCTGGCTGGCTGGTTGGATGGATGGATGGATGGATAGATGGATGGATGGATGGATGGATGGACGGATGGATGGATGGATGGATGGATGGACGGATAGGTGGATTATTATTGAATGACACAATGAATAAATGGCGAAATGAGCGAATGAATAAAAAATGAGTGAATGAGCAAAGTAATAAACGAACGAACGAATGAATGTTTTAATTGACAGTTGCGAGTTAATGAGCTTATGAAAGAATAACTGAAGGAATACCTGACAAAGTGAATGAATGAATGAGCGCGTAAGTAAATGAAAGAATGAACAAATGAACAAACTAACGAACGAACGAACGAATGAATAAATAAATGTTTAATTAACGATAGTAGTAGAATGTTAAAGTAAGTCAATGACTTACTGACTGAGTGAATGAATACATAAACGAACGATTGAATGAATGAATGAATGAATGAATGAATCATCATTAGATAGATGAATGAATAAATGAATAAATAAATGAATGAATGAATGAATGAATGAAAGTAAGAATTAATGAATGAAAGAATGAACGAACGAACGAATGAATGAATGAATGAGTGAATGAATGAAAGAAAGAAAGAATGAATGAAAGAAAGAATGAATGAATGAACGACTGAATGATTGAATGAATAAATTATATTATTCATTTATTATCATATTGGGTGAATAAAATAAATAAATAAATAAATAGTGAACGCGGAATCCGACGAACGCAACTTTTTCCCTCTTTCATGTTTACATTCGCACGCATGTTAAAGTTATGCCAGTCCAACAACTGATGATGATGATGATGATGATGGTGTTGGCGATGATGATGACGATGACGACAACATTGATGATGATGATGATGATGATGATGACGATGATGATGATGACGATGATGATGATGATGACGGACGACGAAATTGATAATGACGATGATGATAATGATAGGGATGATAATGATGATAATGATCACAATGATGACGATAATGATGATAATGATGATAATGATGATGATGACGACGACGACGATGGTGATGATGATGCTGACTATTAAAGATATAAAAATGTTACACAGAGTATGATGATGTGATAGTTATTACCACGTTAATAATAATAATAATAACAATAACAATAATAACAACAACAACAACAATAATAATAAAAATAATAACAATAATAATAATAAAAACTGCCATCATCATCGTCATCGTCGTCGTCATCATCAACAGCTGTATCTTGAAGCCAAACTTTTCTTTTTTGGTTATTTTTATTCCGTACCGCCCCCATTCGATATGATGATGATGATGACGATGATGATGTTGATGATGATGAAGTTGGTAAAATATCTGGTGTATTGTTGGTTTATTCATAATTTTTTTCTCATTTCTGCCATAAAACCTTGCATTAATCATCACCATCATTACCTCTGTAATCATCATCATCATTATCATCACCTCTGTAATCATCATCACTACCATCACCTCTGTAGTAATAATCATCATCACTATCATCACCACCTCTGTGATCATCATCACTATCATCACCACCTCTGTGATCATCACTATCATCATCTCAGGTTGAATGCAAAAAAGCGCAGCCCAAAGAAGTCATGATGCCCCAAAACAATAGCAGAAGTATGGCGATGATGATGATGACGACGATGATGATGATGTTTGTGGTGATGATGATGACGACTATGGTGACGATTGCAATAATGATGATAAGGATGATGAAGGAAAAGAAGATGACGACGACAAAGACGATGATGACGATGATGACGATTATGATGATTTTATTCCCATTATTATTTTAAACTCCCACCCTCACCGCCAGGCTTAATATCCCTCGGATTGTCATCATCATTGTCATCAGCATTCAGTCGGGGTTACTCACTCACCAACCTGCCAAGTTACATAATTCCTGGTACGATGATGATGAAGACGATGATGATGACGGTGATGATGACGATGGTGATGACGACGACGATGACGATGA